CCAATAGGCAATACATTTAAAAGCGAGGACATTAAGGAAAAATGACCGTCAAAACAACGGCCACTCCATCTACTTTTTTTGATGGTTGACCTCCTTCTCTTTTTATCAGGGGGGGGTGGGAAGGGCTTCCATCCAGGGGGATAAGTGATCCCCTACGTATCTCAAATCTTTCTCTTGAGTCTTCAAGCCTGGCTTGGGGGCGAAACCGGCTGTTAGGGGGCCAGGGAGTGGGCTTAAGTTGACAGTAGACCATCCCCTGAGGGCTCCCATTATGTGAAAAGGGCCAGCCTGGGCTCAGGTACACCACCCCCCCCCCCCCAGTGCATGAATTTCGTGCACCAGGCCCTTAGTATATTAGAAATCCCTAAGGAATCCACAAAAGATTATTCAAGTTAATAAATGGATTCAATAAAGTTTCAGGATACAAGACCCTCCCCCCCACACACAAAAGTTGTATTTCTATAGACTAGCAATGAAAAATCCAAAATGAAATTAACAAGTCTATTTAAAATAGCATCAAAATAAATAAAATACACAGGAATAAATTTAGACAAGGAGGTGCATGACTTGTGCACTGAAAACTATAAAGAATTGCTGAAAGAAATTAAAGATGACCTAAGAAATGGAAAGATATCAGCACTCATGAATTGGAAGTCTTAACACTGCTAAGAAGGCAATTCTAACCAAAGTTATTGACAGAGTAAATGCAATTGCTATCCCAATCCCAATGATTTGTTGCAAAAATGTAAAAGCCAATCCTAAATTCAAATGGAATTTCAAGAGACTTTGAATAGCCAAAATAAACTTGAAAAAGGAAAAAAGTTTGAGGACGCACACTTCCCTATTTCAAAACAGCATAAAGCTACAATTATCCCAACGATGTGGCGTTAGCATAAGGACAGATAATTAGATCAATGGAATAAAATTAAGAAGCCATAAATAAACCCATAATGCTATTCATGCATGTATACCCCTAAGAACTGAAAACAGGTATTCAAATGGAACCTGTTCTAGAATGTCTATTGCAGCACTATTCACAATAGCCAAAAGGTGGAAATTACCCAAACATCCATCAACTGAGGAACTAATTAATGCACAACATGTAGTTCACCCATTCAATGGAATATTATTCAGCCACAAAAAGGGAATGAAGTGCTGATTCATGCTACCATGTGGTTGAATTATAACGAGAACATTAAGCTTAGTGAAAATAGCCAGACACAAAAGGCCAACTATTTATTGTATGATTCCTTCTCTAGGGAGTTTCTAGGATAGGTAAACCTCTATGGACAGGAAGCAGGTTCATGGTTGCCTGGGGTCTAGGGGAGGAGGAGAGGCCATGTTGGGGTGGGGAGAAGAGAAGGGCAGTGTGAGTGACTGCCACACAGGGTACAGGGGTTTCTTTTGGGGGAGGTTCCAATGTTTTGGAAGTAGATAGGTGTGCTGGCTGTCCAACATCACCAGTTATAGCTGGTGCCACTGGATCCCACATGTTTTTTCTCTACAACATTCCTGACCAGTGGACAGTGAGAGTTCCTCAAAGAGAGGGTCCCATGAGCAAGGGTGAGCAGGAGCTGCCAGCACCTCTTCTTTTGCAGGCCCGGCCCACCAGGCCATGGGAAAGCAGTGACTTCACGGACTTATGTGTCATAAGACCTGTACCTGGACCAA